AATATTACACTTTACAACACATTATCTGGACTGTCCATTTTCAATATTTTCATGCGTTTATAAATCTAATTGAGTTGAACTATTTTTGGAATTTAAAATTTTATAATTAGAAATGAAAATAAATTCTCATAAAATTTCAAAAATTTCCAACACCAAAATTACATTTTTATGACAAAATTTAGAGATACGCAATTGTTTAAGGTTGCAACCTAATAGAAACCTCAACCAAACTTATATACATTTCATGAAGAGTCTCTCTCACTTACACTCCAGCAACTGATATCCAACTTCCATCTCATGCATAAAGCACTTTCTAGAGATTGAACCACAAACTCAAATGATTCAATTAGAGAGTTCAATTGGAGTTAACTGTGGATAAGCCCCTTGATTCATTGGAAATTTTATGGGCTTGATACTTTTATGAAGCAAACAAATACATGAAATTCCTTATACTTTCTTCCCTTCTTCATTTTCTTGGGGAGTAACAATTGGCCTTAGTAGATTATAGGTGTACGCTCCACTGATTGCCCCTGCTGTGGGTCCCACAAGATAAATCCAAAGGTTTTCTAGGTTCCCTTTTACAAATGCAGGTCCCATACTCCTTGCTGGGTTCATGGAGGCTCCAGACACAGCCCTGGTGAAATAAGTCACAAGTTAGCAAAGACAGATGAAATTTTAGGGCAAGCTTGTTTTGCGTTAAAATACTTTTTAATAAATATTTTTTCGGGAAAGAATTCCCTCATGTGATTAGGTTTGAAATATTTTCATACCAGTTTGTCCCATTGCATCTTTTTATAAAATTAATAATTAATTGGTATGAAAATATTCTCACATCTAACCACATAAAGGAATTTTAAAGGGTGAGGTTTTGATGTGTATTCCACACACCTATTTATTTGTAACCAGAGATTTTGGATCCAAAATTTTAGAAGTCAATAATCTCAACTATAGTGATCAAGAATAGAAAATAAATATTTTTTTTAGAAAAAGGGTATATCTTGAAAAACAATTTGTACCTTTTTTTTTTACTTCTTAACATATCATTCGATCTCATTTTGGAGTTGCAAAATAATTGGATCTATAGCAAAACTCTAGTTCTAGTTACTTAAAGGTGTTTTGAATGCTAAGTTTGTGAAAGAGCTAGAGTATGTGGACTCAAAAGTCTGGGGAACTCAGAGTAGACTTTTCCAATTTCAAGTGCAAAACAAAAAAATAAGATACACTAAAATATCAAAACTCTTAACCATTTTGCAAATGTTCATATGCCCTCATTTTTTTGGTTCAAAAATGATTACCGGACCTTACTCGCGCATCTTTTGGGTAGGATTAGTTTTACGCTTTAAATGCAACAAATTGGCCCTCGAAGTGGAAATAAATTGATGAGGGAGCATAGCATGGTTTAATCTCCATAGGGCGATTGGATGGTCCCTTGTGGACCACTGCTCATATCATACACCAATGTGCGTGTACTTAAACGCTTGTGTCTTGGTATTGGGTAAAACCATAGATGTCAAAACCAATTTTGGTAAAAAACTGATCAAATTTAATGTTTGACCAATTTGGTTGGTCAGACCATTCGGTTTTGACCAGTTCTACTTACTAGACAAAATTGAGAAATTTTTTTTAATACATTCGCATTTTTCAACTATTATTTTTAATTTTCTTATCACTTTTAAAATTTAATCAAATGGGTTCGACTGACAATCTAATCAGTTTTCATTGAACCACACCCCTCACCGATTCTATAATCAGGTTGGATTCTGATGATAATAACTACAGTAGCAACTTATGACACAAGAAGACGCCTTGTGCATACTTGGGTAATGGCAAATGTGAATTTACAAATGCATTTGGATTGGTCTCATGGGTCTCACCCCATTCATACTTGTTTACCAAGAACAAAAGACTAATTCCATGTGTCCTTGTAGGTACAATGGACTTGAAAGTACCTAGAAACAGAGCATATCGCATATGAAAAACACATGGTTTAGTCCAATGAAAAGAAAATGAAATTAAGTAAGGTAATTGAGGTTACCCCGCAATGAGTACGTTAAATAGGACCGTTCCTCCAACTGCAACCCCCGAAAGCTTACCAATCTGTTAAAATTCACAGGAGATTAGCAGTTTATAAAGGGAAATATCTTAAAGAAAAAGTTCACATAAGAATGCAACTTTATAATGTAGAACTATGAATGTACCTCAAAAATCCATCGCCATCGCAAAAGGTAGTTTTAATGTTGAAAAACCCTTTGATTGATCATTTCGACATCGAAATGTATCACCATGAAAAATAAAAAGATTTTAAGTCTAAAAAATAGTGCATTTTATAGCATATTATCTACACCATCCATTTTCAAGATTTTCATATGTTTATAGATCTACTTGATTTTAACTATTTTTGAAATTTATAATTTTATAATCCTAAGAACATTTTACATCAAAATTATATACTATGATAAAATTTGAAGGTGCACCTTACCCCTACAGCTACGGATGCATCCGTATGCTAACTGCACCCATATATTAATAACATTGATTTTCTTTTGTCCATATTACCCTATCAATGTAACGAGTGTGTGTTCACATGCAAAAGTGCATGATACTAGCCCTCCAATAGAAGTACCAATGGTGATGCTCCCCGACCTTAAAATCACTTTGGCGGTGAGCAAGGGATCCCAACAAAGCTCCAAATCATTTTCACACCCTTGGAATATCTTTACAAAAAAAATTTAATAAAAATAAAAAATAAAATAAAAAAAGAGGGGATTTGATTTTTTGAATCTACTCTTTAACTCTATTGCCACCCCAAATCCATCTGAAAGGGCAGTCAATATCTGGCCTTGAAACTAAAAATCAATATGGTCTCTGAACCACGTGTAATGGTTTCTTAGGAGAGGAAGCTTCATTATTTTTGTGCTAGGAGCCCTATAAGTGGGGAGTTTACTTATACATGCGTACATAGATTAATATATGTGCTTGTATGCATGCATACATGCAAACACATGCGTAACCAGTGTTACCATGGGACATACAGCCCTTGGTTGGTGGCATGTATCAATATGTTTTTTTTATTTTTATTTTTGGGTAATTCAGTGGGGAAGGCAGGCCCTATCCGTTTTTTCAAATAGATTACGTTGGTGTTAGTAGTGGAAATGGAAATCACAACATGGTGACTAGAGTGTGGGGTGGTACCACCACAACCCTAACCCCTTTCCCTGTATCAATATGTTGTCAAGTGTACACTTCAGGTAGGGCTAAGAATTTACCCGGTCCAGATCCGAAACCCGAAATTCAGTTCCTATCTAGATTTGGGTATGGATCCAAGTTTTGGATTCCAAAATTTGGATCCTAATCCAAAATTTAGATCCGAATAGTAATTCGGGTTGGATCCGGGCATAGATGGATCCTATCCAAATCTGACCTGAATTCTAAAAATAATATATGTTATTTTATATATGTATATATTTATACATTTATTAATTTATGTATATAATTATTTTAACTTTATACTTACATTTTAACTTTATAATATACAAAATTTTAACTGAATCAGATCTGGATTCGAATCCGGATCTTATGTATAGTTTTGGATCCATATATGGATCCAAATATTCTCGATATGATCAGATCCAGATCCCAATCTGATATATGCTTCCAGGATCAAGGTGGATCCGGACCCGATCTGAAAAATTCTCAGCTCTAACTTTGGGTGTACTAAAAATAATAGAGAATTATGAAAGGCCTTCCAACAGGACTTCGAATCTAAGTCATTTATGCGAAGTCCTCTTTGCGACTACATCATTGACAACTTTCATGGGTCTAAATAGGGATATTGTATTTTATATATTAAAGTGTAATATTTTAGCTATAAAAAATAACATTATAGACATGGTTAGTTATATCAACTTTTAAAAGACACCATTTACGCTTGTAGACCAACACAAGCATCGGTGTCCATATAAGAAATGATGCTTACACATGCAATGCAGCTATGTAACACTAATGTATCCATAAGTATGTAAATTATGGAAGCAAATCCCTAAAATTTCAAAAGCAAGAACGATATAGAATCAAGAAGCTTGCATAATTGGAAAACGACCTCCACTGAAAGATTTAAAAGACGACAACGATGACGACATCAACAACGGCGACAACAACTAACAAAAAATCAACAACAACAATAAAGCCTAACCAAAAATACTAAACAAAATAATGGACATAATCAAATACATACCGCCCTGCTATCAGTCGCCACTCCACAAATCACAAACATGAGAAGGAATGTGATTATAAATTCCCATCCGAGTGACTCAATCCAAGTCCCTGAGGGCAGTGTCATAGAAACATAAACCCCCTTGGTCTGGTAAAAGATCCTTAAAGTTGCACAAGCAAGAGTCGAACCCAGGACTTGAGCTGCAACATAAGCGGGCACCTACATGAAAGATAAAGTTCCTTTCTAGTATCAAATTAGGGTGCACTAAAACTAGTTATAACCACTGTTAGGATCAGGTTTATGTTAAGAGAAGATATATTCTATGATCTATACGATCATAAAAAATGTAAGGTCATACGTGTTGGAGAGACGATGGAATCTTCAACACATTGACGGGAACCAAGCGTAGGGGTAGCAATGGACCCATCTAGACCCGGGCCCGACCGATAGACCTGACCTCAGGCCTGGGTATGGGTCTAACGGGTTCATGTCCAAAACCTGGACCCGAATAGTATTCGGATCTGGGTCCATCCAGACCCAACCTTTTGGCTCCCTGACTAAGCGATTGATTTCACTCTCTCTTTGTCCCCCATGCATCTAATGATCATTCATTTGTTATGGTCATACATATCATGATTGTCATTGTCCTAAGGACAGTGCAAAAATCTCGTTCACAAAAACTTGTGGGTGAACCAATGAAGTACATAAGGAAAAAGGATTCTATAATATAAGACAGTCTACTTTTAATACAAGAAGGTCACAATCACGTCTGGCTATTGTATGTGAACTTTGACAGCTTCGAATGTGTCATAAAGCTCGAAATTTAATTTACTTGTGAGCTTTAAGTCTCTTCATTGGGATATCCCTATCCTCCATGTTTTATATCGGTTAAAAATGATTATGACCTCCTTGTACCAGAAGTAAATGGTCTCGTTTATGCTTGTCCTAAGGAAAAAGAGACCATTATCGTATATAATGTACATATAATACACATAGTATACTTGATACACCCTAGAGGTTCACGGTATATGATACACCACACGGACATCCATTGTCTATCCCTGACCCTGGACAATTGAGATCAACCAAATTCCGCCCAGACATATGTTTACGTAGTTACCGTAAATCTCAACCGTTAACTGTCCAGAAAAGATTATGGATGTCACCCCATTGTGTGCGATACACCATGCACCACTAGTGTAATATGGTATAGTTTCACTTAGCTCTTAAGTAAGTTCTTAACTCATGTGGCTATTCATACACTTAAGGAATGACTCTGTATTTCTAGCATTAAGAACCATTCATAGGGAAACATAAAGTTTTTCAGTGCCAAATCCTAGCTCAAGTAGATACAGAACCTTACAACAAAACCCACAAAACCAAAAGACACAAATTAGGGCTTCAAGATTTAGGGTTTTCTCACACTCTTCCATGGAAAGCGGCCAACAGATGCAAAGGCAATGGTCACAGCTGGGTTGAAATGGCCTCCTGATACATGACCAATTGTGTATATCATCACCATAACAATGAAACCCCAAGAAATTGCAACGCCCACTATACCCATGTTGTGCTTATGAGCATCCATGAGAGCTGATGCGCACCCCACAAATATCAGAAAATATGTACCAACCATCTCTCCAACAATCTGAAAGAGACAACACTTCTACATCGTTAGGTCTCATGTCATGTGACCAAAAACTTCTTGGAGTTTCCTTTTCAGGGTAATTTAGGTAATGGAATATAGGAAGAAGGATGATAAGTTGAATGAACGAGAATAAGGCGCTTCGGCAATACAAGTGGCGGTCCAGCACTCACAAAGAACGGTCCGACAATAGGTCCATGCTGTTCAGCACTATCAAAGAGCAGTCTGACAATAGGCCCTTGTGGTCGGCAACAAACCCAAAGTACAGCCTGGCAATGTTAAAGAGCGGTCTACCACTTTTTTTAGTTTAATGGGTTCTGGCAATGTCAAAGAGCGGTCCCGCAGCCCATATAAGCCCAGGTGAATGTCCGTCCAAAATTAAATTTTTATGTAAAAAAAAAGGTGTTTTCATCAAATCAATTATCTCGATCTCAAGATGTATGGACATGAAAAAAAATAGATTTTTTTTCTTGGAAATAGTGCATCATTTAATATATTTTCTAGACCGTCAATTTTTCAGATTTTCAAGTGTTTATAAATGTACTTGATCTACACTATTTTTTAAGCTTTAAATTTTATAATTAAAAATAAAAATAATTTTTCAGAACATAATAAAAATTTCTAGTATTGAAATAACACCTTTCAATTTTATTTGAAGGTGTGCCTTGCTTTGATTGTTTAGGGCGGCAGCATTACACAAACCACACCCCAAAAATAATAGTCTTGAGGGAACGACAAAATAAAGAGTAAGACAGAATGTATTGTGAGAGAGACAATAGGCTGATTACAGAGCAAAATTGAAAGTAAAAATAAAAATTAAAATAAAAACCAACCCCCAGCCAACCTCCTTTCGTCTGAAAAATACTTGTTAATATTGTAAAATAATATACTTTAGCATAAGGATTCCATGAGTTTTTAATAAAGAAATAATGTTGTGGGGTTTTGGCCCCACATTCAAGAATAAAGTTAGGGACCCCACATTCAAGAATAAAGTTAGGGAAAAGTGACATTTATATGGAAACACTCTCTAACCTTAAATTAATTGAACAAAAAAGAGATTAAAAAGGAGCATTTATATGGAAATACTTTCTAGCCTTATATTCATTGGACAAAGGGCCTTATATTCATTGGACAAAGGAGTGATTATGAATGTGGGAAAATGGTAAAGCTTGCGACGTACGCACATGCGATGGGCGTACACTCTGCGACGGCCCTGTTCCTAGCCATTATGTTATGCGCGGTGGTAGTTTGTGACTATCATTTCTACACAAAATTTCCTTTTCTTTTTTTATGATAGATATTGGGTTTTATTTGGACAAGTCACTTTTGGTTGGCGTGAAATTGTTTTCTGGAAAATAATTTTATATGAAAATTTTTTTTTGCATGGTAAAATATGGGAATATTTTTGTCATCAATTAGTTGTCAATTGGTGTAAAAATATGCACTAAGACCGATTGGTAAAAAAATATTCCTACATTTTACCACATGAGAAAATTGATGTAAAAAGATGCACTAAGATCAATTGGTAAAAAAATATTCCTACATTTTACCACATGAGAAAAACATTTCTTCTGAAATTGTTTTCCAGAAAACAATTTCACGATAGCCAAACATTTTTCCATAAATTCGACGAGAAATTCCTATGTTTTGAGGCTGGTTTGTGTTAATTAATTTGCCAAAAAAAAAATGTAATCCCTAGGAAGTATACTATCCACTTGATCCCTTGGCCAAAACACATGTTAGGAATACTTTTTAGATCCCAAAATTTGAGAATGTAATAACTACAACCAATAAAATAATATCAGCAACAAAAAGAAATTCCAAAATAGACTCAATATACTAGAAAAAAACTAATGCCTCTAGATTGAATAGATACTGTCCAATTTTTTAAGGGCTAGAGAAACTAAAAATTCAATGTTTTTCTTTTAAAAATAATAATCTAATAATTCTTATGTGATGCTCAATTTTATACTTAAAAAAAAAAAAAACCTCCTAAATAAGTATTTTAAACGAGGGAGTGGATGCAAAATATGGAGCATAATATATGTGCTCACCTTTTGTATTGAAATGATGGATGATGGAGAAATACAAAGCTTTAGAGGGGAGTCTTGGCAAACACTAGTAGGAGTAGTATTGCCTTCTTCCAAGCTCAACGCATCGGGAATAGGAGAATTGCCAAATGAGGGTGTTTTAGGTGTCTCAGCCATCCTTCCTATTTCATTCACATTCATTCACCATGCTCTATACACTCTCTCGACAGAAAGAGACCCCTGATCAGGTGGCTTAGGAAATTATATAAAGTGTAAACTGTGAGATGGCCGAGGAGAGAACCGTGCAAACAAGAATTTTGGATTCAACAAGGAAAATGTTTTGTTTAGTGTGTGTACAATGTTCACTTTTGAAATTTTTAGGATTTTCTCTCAATCCCTAAAGACATAAAAACAAATAAAATATGAATTTCCAAGTTTTTTAATATAACATACTTTTCAGCTACTATTTTCCAACGTTGTAGAACATGAAAATAATTTTCTCTCTCGATATATATATATATATATATATAGCTGGGAAGCTATAATGAATAGTAATATGGGTGGAATCTCAACCGTCAGATTTTTATCATATGGTTCAAAATGCATCTCACTATATGAATTTTAATTTTTTTTTCTATAAATATGATTAAGATGAAATTTTGGGTGTATATACCAAATACTATTGTGGCACTATATATAAATGTAAAAAAACTATTTTCAATAAATTTACATTGACCAAATTTTTTAACCCTCCGTCATTTTTTAGAGGTATTTC